GAACAGTAATTTTTTTTGTTTGAATACAAGCTATTGAAAGTTAAAGAGTTGTGTCCCTTTGTTTTTATCAGTAGAAACCAATGTGGTGAAATCCAAAAACAATCACAATAATGAAAACTTGGGAAACCAAAATTTCAGGATATGGCCCAGAATGCTTTTAATTTGCTCTAAGAATCAGCCTTGATTCCAAAAATGGTATGATACATTGGGCTATGGCCTCTAGGAATAAAGTTGAAAATGTGTGACACCCTAATATTCACGTTTATAATATATATATATATATATATATATATATATATATATATAAATAAAAAAAATATAGTATGCTATATTTATAGAAAAAAGTGTTGAATATCAAATGTCAATAACTTATAACTGTCATGACTATACCCAAATTACGTATAAGAGAGTGTATGTAAATATAAAAGTGTGAACTGTGGTAAAACCCAAGTGTCAACTGTTTCATGCTTGAACACAATCTTCAAGCCTATTGGTGTTGACCTCAGTGTTCACTCTTATATTTACATATATATATATATATATATATATATATATATATAAAAAAAGAAAGAACAGTAAGATATAAAATCCGGTGTTCTTATAGATATTTTTACAAAATAGTGCTCAATGTAAATTTACAGAGCATTAATATTATAAATTAATTGATTTAAAATATGTTTTTTTTTACACAGTTCCAACCATGTTTCAAAAATAGAAGCTAAAAACCCGAATTTAATTTTGCAATTAAATTAAAAATTATTAGTTCCATTTCATCTTCAAGCGAATTTAAAAAAAAAAAAAAATTCGCTTGAAGATGAAATGGAACTAATGCTTTTAATTTAATTGCAAAATTAAATTCGGGGTTTTTAGCTTCTATTTTTGAAACATGGTTGGAACTGTGTAGCGAAAAAAAAAAAATTTTAAATCAATTAATTTAAATTAATATATATATATATATATATATATATATATATATATATATATATATATATATATATATACACACACACACACAGGTTTGGTCAAATAATTTAGACATATGTTGATTAGTTTTCATTAGGATCTTTTCAAGTTTGCAGTTTAATTTTTTGGAAGATTTAGAAAATTGAGTAAGAAAAATACCAAAATTTTCTTTTGAATAATCTTTACATTCCAAAGTATTAGGTTGGTGCAAAAATAATGACGTAATAATGTCGTTTTGTGATGTATTCTTTAACGTCAAAAATGACATTATTACGCTCATTTTTGCACCAACCTAATATTTTCAATCTCATCTGAGACCATCTTCAGGGGATTAAGCTGTCTGTGAGCATGTATATGTGTTTCTGTGAATTTAAAACATTTTGACTGCTCATTTTTTTTTTTTTTTTTTTTTTAACCAAACCTGTTTGAATGGAAATATGTTTATATATATATATATATATATATATATATATATATATATATAGTTGGATTGATGTGAGTTTGTGACCCTAGGTTTCATGCTATTTGCGATCATCAAAGTGATTAATTTTTAAATTTTGGATTTATATATTGTTGCGTATTTTGGTGTTTTTATGGTAGTGGGAGGAAAAATTGCCGTCAGAACACCACTCATACATATGCAAACATACATACACACATGTTCACTCATTGATGTATGCAGACATACATACACTCATACTCACACCAACAAACATGTATGAACAGTGTGGGACTGGGTATATATGTGCATCTATGTGTTGTTGCATACATACATATGCAATTAGTCACTGTATTCAATGTTGGATTGTGTAGTGAACATCTTTCATCAGTTGCAGTGTCAATGCACAGACCATTCATCTATTTTGTTCACCAAATAATGTTTTCTTGCACACACGTATATACATATGTGCCTGCGTTCACACATCTTTTATCTGTATGTTTTCTTTCTTTTTTTTTTCTTTGTGGGGTTTGTGTAAGACTATGGTAGGTAAGATTGCTATTATTTTTTTAATTTTTTTAACGCTGTTTTGCTATTATTTTAAAGACGGTTATTTGCTTGATTTTGGTGATTGCGCATACTTATCAGTATTTATGCGGTGGTATTAATTTTGCTGGGGGTGGGGAAAAAGTAAGTATAATTGTGGAGTGATATGGTAATGGTTATTGTGGACTAATGTGGCAATGGTAATTGTGACATGGTAGTAATGGCTGGTATTTTTTTTTTTATCCATTTGGCATAAATTGTGATAATAGGTATTTGTTTTCATGTCTGCATTTGGAAATTATTTCTGATTTAGTAAATTCTTTTGTTGGGTATGAGAAATTATTGCTACCTTTTCGTGTAGTAGGCATTTCTTTGTAATGTTGTTTTAAGCAGGTGCTTTTTTTCAATATTTTCCAGCTTATTCTTGGTATAATATTTCTGTCCCCTAGATGCCATATGCATGTGGATAGTGTAGTACTGTTTGAGTATTTTGTCGGAGAATGAAAGTATGCCCAGTCCGACACTGTTCATATATGTTTGTGTGAGCTCCATTGAGTGAGTGTTCGTGTATGTAGGTTTGCGTACATATGAGTGGCATTCCAATGACAATTTTTCCTCCCATTACCATAAAAACACTGATGTATGCAACCATTTATAAATCCAAAATTTAAAAATTAATCCATTTTTGTCTGACGATTGCAAATAGCGTGAAACCCAAGGTCAATGAAAAGCATACTTAGCAAGAATTCATCCAATCAAATTTTAGTAAAGTTCACCAATAATATTTGTCTATTCAACTTTTCTTTCCAATTTCCAAAGGTTTTGTTATACATCATGATTAAATATCTGTCTATATCTCTGAGATGAGGTATTATGATTATTTCCATTATTCAGACAGTTATCCTCATCTTCATTGCCATATTGACAACATTTCAGTGGTACACTCCAGCCTTCTTCTGGTGATTGGAATTTCAAACCGAACCCTTTATTTCGTCCACTGGGGCAGATTGTTGGTACTAAAACAATCTACCCTGGTTGATGAAATAAAGGGTTTGGTTCAAAATTCCAATCACCTGAAGAAGGCCAGAGTGTACAATGGACGAAACATTGTGAATATGGCAATGAAGGTAAGGATAACTGTCTGAATAATTTAAATAATCAGGATTAAAGTTATGAATAAATTATTCGAAAGCTTAGGATTTTTTCTTGCTACATTCAAGTAATTTTGACTACGACAGTCATTGTGAAGAATGGGTGTTGTCAGTATATCATTTTAGAGTGTTGGAATTTGTTCAGAGTGAAGTCATTTTAATGGTTACAGAAACCCATGTATTGAATATCTACACGTGTTCTATTTTTTATACACCCTTCAATATCCATTGGAGACTTGGTAGTTTCTTTTGTATTATAATGGCTTCTGGAATTTTAAGCCTTTCTTTACAGTTAGTTCTGTATATTTTGGTGTTGTCTATTAAAAAATATATTATATATACTGTATATAGTCATGTAACACACAATCTCATATTGTGCAAACCCCCAAATTTTCACTTATAAAAAATGATTTCATCATGTAAGTTCCTTTTTTTTTTGAGACCCAATTGCAATAGACTAACCTCATTTCTCCAACTTATTTATCCCATCTTCTAGTTAAATGAATTAAAAAAGTAAAAGAGAATGATAAAAGTATCATTAATAATGCTATACTCATTGCATGAACAACCAAACACCTTATAAATGTAAACAATAGAAAAGCTATGTTTGTATTTTATAATACAATACTAATATGTGAATAAGACATGCATTATTATTCAATACAGTTAAGTAAAATATCAATTTTATCAAAATCATGCTTATTTTAAATACAGCTGTACTTTTTGACTACAGTAAATGGATATGTAGTTTGGTCAACAGTTTGGTTTAGTTTGGTTTATTTTGTTTTACAGCATATCAACCTCAATGGGTTATTTAATGCCGACAAAATTTTTATTGCTGGTAATGTTTTTCTTCAAAAATCTATTTCTGGGAATATTTTTCCTTGAAGAAATCTATAGCTGGTCATATTTTTTTTCAAAGAATGTATTATTGCTGGTAATAATTTTTTTTATTACAAAGTATTTCTGGTATTAAAACCTATTTTTACACAAGTTTGTGTGTTAACTATTTGACAATAGCTGGGACCCTAACAGGTGCTACCACCCCGGGTCAGGGTGGACCTGGGAACACCAACAATTAAGAGGTGGTTCCATGCTAGTCAAAAACCTCCTGATCAGAGGCCTTGCTTTTGGACGTAGTTTATCATCTTACCCAAGACGATTGGCAAACAGTGTAGCCAGGGCCAGCAGTACATACACTAAGTGTATATCTTCGCTATGATGTGACCCCCTAAAAAGTTTATATATATATATATATATATATATATATATATATATATATATATATATATATAATATATATATATGACAATCAATCATCAAGCTGCAAGTGTCAGATTTTTTCTCGATATATATATATATATATGTGTGTGTGTGTGTGTGTGTCAGTGGTGCATTGTGGGTAATCTATTCTGGTGGTTAGTTTTTTGGCAGGAGTGGCCTGTTTATTTATTTGGGTTAATTTATTTTACTTGTTTTTTATTTTCATTTTTTATTTTATATGTTTATTTATTCTTTTCGGTTTTCAATTGCAATTAACTGATTCATTTTTACAGCTTATCAACCTTCTGCAGGTTATTTAAAGCCAGATAATATTTTTAGATTGTCTAAAAAAAAAAAAAAAAATAAAAAAATAAAATAAAAATAAAATAAAAATCTGATCAAAGAAAAGTTTGAATTTAATCCTAGCATTTTATAAAACAACAGAAAAAGAAAAACTGACACTAAAAGAAAACAGAGACATCTGGAACACCTGAAACTTACCTGTCGACATGCGAGAATAACCGGATTCAAGTTCTCAGCTTGAGCAAATCCTCAGTACCAAATAAAATACATTTTTATAATTATCTGGGAGCTTACATTTTCAGTACTACTCATCTCTACTCCTACTGATGGGATGACTAAAGATACGGTTGTTGAGGGGGGCGGTAGCGGGGGGGGGGGGGCAGACAAATCTGCGACATCTGGATAATTGAAGTATCATCCAATAATGGCACTTTGGTAACTAGATCATAAAAATATAATCTGAGAATTTAAACTTCAATCTTATTAAATGCAGCAATAACTCTTGGTTGTATGTCAATTACTAAGAAAATAAAAATAATCTTAAATATGGTTATATTGTTTTTAATAAAATGCTGCAGGCAAATGAGAGTGAAAAAAAAAGAAGAGACAAGAGGGAAGACAGACACTGAATAACAGCAAATCAAACTCTCTTTCTTGGGTAATGAGGGTGGGGTTAAACAGCAGGAAGGCAACAAGCCACATAGAACCATTTAAGAATTACAAATATGGGAAGGAAAAATTTTTTTTTAAATAATCAAAATTTCACAATACCATTCATAATTTTTCTGATAGTGATCAAACTGAGAGAGAGCGAGAGAGAAAGAGAGAGCGAGAGAGAAAGAGAGAGCGAGAGAGAAAGAGAGAGATAAATTTGCTGTATTTATGGATGAAGCATGCTTAATATTTAGGACAGCATGTTTGTACATAGAAATCAACACTACATAATGACTGCTGGTCAGGCCAAATGTCCCTCCTCTTAGTGTGGCCTCTACCTTTAGACAGCTGGAGATTTATGTTAAGTAGAAGATGGTAAAATAATATTCATCAAATTCAAACAAAATACACAATATATTCAACAGAAATACTGTACAAGCTGGAGCTGCACTGAAAATATGCTACAAATCATAAAAAAAATTAACATCAAAAAAAAAAAAAAAAAAATTACCAGTGCACCACAAATATACCCAAGCCCTAACTTTAACTGGAGAACAAGGCCTGATTATCCACTAAATGGTAACTGGCTACAAACAAACATAATATACCAAGCTGTCAAATCCCCAAAAACCAATAAAAAAAAAAAAAAAAAAAATAATTAATGACTGTAATATGTTACTATAAACATTTTTTCTATTTACCCTTTCAGTTTACTTTTTCTTGGGCATTTTTATGAAGACTGTAATAATTACTTGAAGTTGCATGAAAAACATAAAAGGAAATAATAAAAGAGCCCAATGATAATAATAAAATAATAAAAGAGCCCAATGATAATAATAAAATAATAAAAGAGCCCAATGATAATAATAAAATAATAAAAGAGCCCAATGATAATAATAAAATAATAAAAGAGCCCAATGATAATAATAAAATAATAAAAGAGCCCAATGATAATAATAAAATAATAAAAGAGCCCAATGATAATAATAAAATAATAAAAGAGCCCAATGATAATAATAAAATAATAAAAGAGCCCAATGATAATAATAAAATAAAAAAGAGCCCAATGATAATAATAAAATAATAATAAAAGAGCCCAATGATAATAATAAAATAATAAAAGAGCCCAATGATAATAATAAAATAATAAAAGAGCCCAATGATAATAAAAAATAATAAAAGAGCCCAATGATAATAATAAAATAATAAAAGAGCCCAATGATAATAATAAAATAATAAAAAGAGCCCAATGATAATAATAAAATAATAAAAGAGCCCAATGATAATAATAAAATAATAAAAGAGCCCAATGATAATAATAAAATAAAAAAGAGCCCAATGATAATAATAAAATAATAAAAGAGCCCAATGATAATAATAAAATAATAAAAGAGCCCAATGATAATAATAAAATAATAAAAGAGCCCAATGATAATAATAAAATAATAAAAGAGCCCAATGATAATAATAAAATAATAAAAGAGCCCAATGATAATAATAAAATAATAAAAGAGCCCAATGATAATAATAAAATAATAAAAGAGCCCAATGATAAAAAATTGGGTATGGAGTGAATGACTGTTTTTTGTTTAACAGCTAAAGAGGAGTAAACATCGTTTCAGGAAAACTTAAGGTGTGGAACTGACAATCAACATGCAGTGTTCACACACACAAACAGATTTCAACAATATTGACATCATTTTCTACCTTAGGATCCTTTCAGCCAACACTTTTTCAAAGATAATCGTTGGCGAAATACAACAAAAATAACGAAAGGCCGTTGGAATGGGATTATTACATTGTGTCCATTTTTTTTTTTTAACTGAATTGTCTACTGGCTTGCACATTTGAGGGATTTAAGAAAAAATATACTTTTCATTAGGGTTTGAATCCGCATTGCCCTTTCATAGTGGAAATCACTATCTGATCCGGTGTGCTTTAACCTGCTCGGCCACAGATACATCACAGCCCACCAAGGTTCTCATTCAGATCTTCTTCCATAGAGAGTGACTTTTTTTATTATTATTATTATTTCGTACCCAAAACAAAGTAATTTCTAAAAATTGAACCAATGAGAAATGATATCAGATTAAAAATAAAATCCATCAATTCCTTATATATAATTAGGAGATCAGTCGATTCCACTACCTTGGTTTCAACCTTTCAGTATCTTCAGGCGATTCCAACCAATTGAGATTTTATATATATATATATATATATATATATATATATATATATATATATATATATATACACGTTTCATTAAATAATATAGACAAGTGTTGTCTATTTATTTTATGTAAAATTTTTTCGTATCTTCTGATAAGTTTTGATAACATTATCATTAACCGAAAAAAGAAATTCACAATATTTATCCATTATTTTTTTTTTATTATAATCTAAGCTTTTAGCTTACTCAAGCCATTATCAAAGATGTAATTACAAACATATCAAACAATATACGGACACAACAGTGATGATAGTCTGTCATTTTTTAGTTTACATAGTGGATCACTATATATATATATATATATATATATATATATATATATATATATATATATATATATATTAGGAGATCAGTCGATTCCACTAGCTTGATTTCAACTATTTGGTATTGTCAGGTGGTTTATATCAATTGATTTCCCAAAACTATTTTTTTTTTTATTTAATTTATTAATAAATGCTTTATTATTTTTTTTTACTTACCACTTTGATTTTGTTAGCAAATTTGGCTTTTTCCTTTTTGTCAACCTGCACAGGTGGGGGGGGAGCTGGGCGCCGCTTCCGTCTTGGGCATCGAATTGGAGTCTCATTAACAGCAGCTGGAGTCAGAAAGACGGCTGGAACTGAGCTTGAGGCAAAAGATGGTGTAGTGGATTCTGGAACTTTTGCAGATGGTGATGATGGTGGTGAGAAAATGCTTCGTCCTGGAAGCCCTGGAGATACTCCCCATGAATAATCAACCATTTGCTTCAAGGCACGGCGTCGAAAACTTCCAGTCACTTTTCTTTGCAGGGTGTTTTTCCATTTGTTCCTCACCCCAGTGTCCTGAAAAGAAGAAACGTAAAGCAATTGTTTTATAATCAAGGAAAAATGGGGCTAAGTAATTTACTCCTGGGTTTTTTGGGGTTTTTTTTTTTACAGTTTATCAATGCTTTGCAGGTTATTTAAAGCCAGGAAATATTTTTGGAGATAATAATGGCTCAGTGATAAAAGTCTTACTAATTAATCAATAGCAATCCTAAGTATGAATCCAGGTCATTATTTAACGAAGTAAGAGGGTACAACTAAAAAAAAAAATTCAAAATTGACAGTTTTCCATTTCACTTAGACATTAAATGGACACAAGATCTTTTTCACTACAACCAGAGTCTCTGATATATTTTTTCTTCTTTCTTTTACTCGCAATCAAAATGAAATGGTCTATTATTTATCTGTAAATCCTTGCATAGACATTTATAAAAAAAAAAAAAAAAAAAAAATATGAATTTATGTTGCTAATGCATAAAACATCCATATATATGCAACCCCTGAAGATGGTCTCAGATTGAAAGTACTTAGGGAAAATAAAAATTATTTGAAAGAAAATTTTGGAATTTTCTTAATTTTCTACAACCACCAAGAAATTATTGTACTTGAAAGAATTAAAACTAAAATAAACAGACATAATACATCTAAATTATTTAACCAAACACACACACATATTCCAAGAGTTATGTTTCACCTTGGAAGCATTTTTAGAAAATTTTCAGCACAACTGAACAATAATATAACACAAATTCTTCAGTGAGAATGTCTTTAAAAGGAAAACCCTAAGCTCACACACACACATATATATATATATATATATATATATATATATATATATATATATATATATATATATATATATATATATATATATATATATATATATGAGAACTCACTCTTTGCTTGTTGCATTTCATCTTCACACTAAACTGATACTTGAAATCAGGAGGACTAACAAAGTCTAAAAAGAATCAGAGGGTGTATGAAATACATTTCCGCCCTGACCTTCAAAGGCATATGCCTGCAAAGCCTTGCTTCCAGTGACACCCCTACTCTTGAACTAGGAATTTTCAGCTACACAGGCAGATTGATCCATTCATTCAACTTAAAAGTTCCCAGCAAAAACATTTCTCTCCAGTATCAGGCCTACCACTTTTGTTCTATCATTTTCTAGCAACACCAAATTGCTCAGCTAATTTGGCCTAAATCTTGGAAGTAAGAGATGTGTATACAGTCACTTTGGCTTTAGGTTCATCTCAGCAGAACAATTCACTGGATCGGAAGGGGTTTTAGTCTCTCCTTTTCTTTACGTAAGAAATAATGATAAAAAAGCTGCCCTGCCTAATGGATCTTATGATGCCAAATGGCTTTGGTTGTTTACCATTCAATTGGATCCCAACACTGGCTGATAAGTGTAGAAGACCATTCCAATAACAGCCAGCAGAAATCAAATGTCCAAGTTGATCTATCCACACCGAACCTTTCCACTAGACTAAAATCCTAAAGTTCTTGGAAGCTGGTGTCAGCAGATAAAACAGAACAATGTTCAATTTGAGACTAACAACAGAATTCTAATCAATCACCCTGAGCACCCCGAGGTGGTGTAATGGTTAGGAAGCTTGTCTCGCTAGAACAATTACAACCAAGTAGTGAGTTAGATCCTCACTGGGTGCCCCATACTTTTGGCCTTGTGCCACATCTAAGCTACACTTAGAAAATCATCTGGGCACCTTAGCGTGGTGTAATGGTTAGCAAGCTTGTCGCGAGAACAATTACGACTGAATAGTGAGTTAGATCCTCACTGGGTGCCCCATGCCTTTTGGCCTTGTGCCAGATCTAAGCTAAGCTTAGAATATAAGGGCACCTCGGTGTGGTGTAATGGTTAGCAAGGTTGTCTCGTTAGATGAGTTACAACTGAAAAGGGAGTTCGATCCTCACTATGTGATCCATACTTTCAACCTTGTGCCACATATAAGCTAAGCTTAGAAAATAACCATAACCAATCAGCCTTGGGGGTAGTCAAGAATGAACACAGTAGTTCAAAGAATAAGCAACATTCTACTGTTGGATGTATAAACAAGCCTGAAAGGACTGACCCTACCACTTTTGATCTTCTCCTCCATGTACAATGTTTACTTCCACATTAAGAGTTGGTTGGTTGATTTTATTTAGTGATATTGTTGGTCATTTTACTATAAAAATATATTTTTATACTTTCATTGTTTTGTTTGGAGGGTCCACTATTTTCCCCATAGCTGGGACTAACAGATGCTGCCACCCTGGGTCAGGATGGACCTGGCAACAGCAGTAATTAAGAGGCATTTCCATACTCCTCAAAACCTCCTATCTCCCAATCAGAGGCCTTGTTGCCAGATGTAGTTTATCGTCATAGCCGGGACTATCCACATTAGGGGATCAACCGACCAAGACAGATACCCAGCCACTTAACCCCCCCCCACCTCCAGCCCATAACTTTCACTGTCACAGGTAAAGTGATTGCTACATCCACAATCAAGGACACAAAGAAGACATACCACCTCACCACCTGTCTCTCATGCTTACCATTATTAGAGACATGCCTGTTTAACTGAATGTATTATTGACTGTTGAACGTGGACATGGGCGAGGACACCAATGCAAAAATTGATTGGACAATGTCAAACAATGGACAGGTATGACTGTACCTGAATTGCTGATGGCTGCTGTTGATAGACCCTTGTGGAAAAGAGTGTGGCTTCTGCATTTGGATCTGCCTGACAATTACAAAAGTTAAGGGGATGATGATTATTGACTGGCTCAAATTAATGATTCCACTTATGCTCTGTGTTAAGGTCAACTTCAGACCTCTTACTGTAGCTATAATCCCTTTATACATTTGAACCCCCTAGTAAGGTTCTTAGTCAGCCAATATTTTTATAGCATATGGTTTGATTGACTGATTCATTTTCTAGAGTTTAACCCTTTTGCAGGCTATTTAAAGCCAGAAAATATTTTTAGATCATAAGAATTTTTTTTTAGAGATAATAATGTTTTAGTGATACAAGTCTTACTAATTAACTCATAGCTAGGGGAAGAAGAGATGGATTCATACCTAATTAGAATTTGATAAACAAATAAGAAATCATAATTGAGAAAGGGAGTAAGCTACAGCACCAGCCTTCTCCCCAGATCGCCGCTGAACAAGGCGCTACCCGCAGTGAGCGCGCGGATTAACGGGCGTGAGCGCTTCATGCTTGTTGACACCGGGTGCACCCAGACCCTTGTGCGCAAGGCATGTTGTGACATGTGGGACGAGAAAAATATTCCAGTTCTGACTGTTGGCGGGGGCTCGCTAGCCTCTTGTGGAGTGAGCGTCATCCGCGCAAGCATCGGCGATGGGCCTGCAGTAGCTGTGCAAGCCCTGGTTGTGGACGGAGGGCTGCTCGGCTATGATCTGCTTCTGGAAATGGACGTCATCAAAAAATTGGGTGGCGTCCATGTTGACGAAGAGGGTCGGGTGCGTTTCACTGAAACAGGTCTTGCTCTAGGTGCGGCAATGGAGCTGGAATGGCCTGACTTTCGTGCGGAGTTCGACCAGCGCACAAAGTCCTGGACGGTATGCTGGAAATGGTCGGACGATCAATCGCCAGAGAAGCTGTACAACAGTGTGCCAGAGTATAAAATCCCCCCACGAGCTCGTGCGGAGTACAACAAGGAGTTGCGAGCCTGGATTAATAACGGATGGTTGGTTCCTTATCCAGAGAAAGAATTGGGGCCCCCGAAGGGCCTGATCCTGCTAATGGCGGTTCTCCAGCACAACAAACAAAAGGTGAGGCCGGTGCTCGACTATCGGGAACTGAACGAGCACGTGGACCCTTTTACAGCCCGCGTGGATGTGTGTACCGAAAAGCTAAGGGAATGGCGACAAGCGGGATCAAATGTATCTGTGCTGGATCTTCGCAAGGCATACCTTCAAGTGCGTGTGCACCAATCACTGTGACCCTATCAAACTGTGCTTATCAAGGGGCAAAGGTATTGCCTGACCCGCATGGGGTTTGGACTCAATGTGGCGCCATCGATTATGCAGACGATTGTTGATGCCATTCTGACGAAGGATGAGCGCATACAGCGGGCAACATCTGCATATATTGATGACGTGTATGTGAACGAGGGAGTCATATCTGCGGCGCGCATGAAGGAGCATCTCTACAACCTTGGCCTCCTCAGCAAGGAACCGGAGAGGCTACACGATGGTGCACGGGTGCTTGGTTTGCAGGTCTGGGGAGAAGATGACGTTCTGTATTGGAAATGGGGAAACGAACTCCCAGACATGCCCCCCGTTGTCACGCGGCGAAGCATATTTTCCTTGTGCGGCAAGTTAGTTGGGCACCTTCCTGTAGGTGGCTGGCTGTGTGTTGCGGTGGCGTTTATCAAGCGGAGAGCATCTGACGTCACCACTGGATGGGATGACGAAGTTCACGACGCCCATCTCAACACCATGATGAGGGAGGTCCTCGCTAGAGTATGCAAGGAAGACCCAGCACCCGTTCGCTGGAAGAAAGGGCAGCTGAGCGTGAGGAGCCACTGGAGCCGGCTGGCGATAGATGTTACTCACCACAACGGCGAGGATTTCCTGACGCTCATTGATTGCGGTCCATCCAGGTTTGTGATATGGTGGCTGCTGCGTCGACAAGATGCAGCCACTATTATCTGTCAGTTAAACAGTATCTTCCTTGAACGTGGCCCCGCAATGGAGATATTAACCGACAATGGCACCACATTCACCAGCAAGCAATTCGGGAGGTTTGCGGATGGCTGGGGAGTGCACCTACGGTTCCGGTGCACCCACGTACCGAGTGGAAATGGAATCATCAAGCGGAACCACAGGACCGTCAAGACCATCGCAGCCAGGACGGGCTGTGCGGTGTCTGAGGCAGTCTACTTATACAATGTGACCCCGAAGGATGATGTCTCACCCTCTACGGCGCCAGCAGACACATTGCATAGGTACCACGTCAGAGTGAAGGGCATAGAGACCA